GCACTTGACCCTACCTTACCCGATCCTCCACTGTTTAGAGTCGTTTTCCCCAGACCCTAGCCATTTCCTTGAGTGTTTGAGCTTTTTGAGTGTTTTCAGAAGAAGGTATTGTATCAAGGAGTTGGAGAAGAAGATCAAGCTTGTAGATCTGAAGTTGGTTTGTGCCCTAGAAGCTCCAGAAGGTAAAAAGCTTGAAACTTTATACTTGTATGAGATAGATCTAGTCATTTTAGCTTTATGGAAGCATTCTTGTCCCAAAAGTCCCAAAATGGTGCATTTCATGATTTGGACGAAATGAGTTGTCCTTTCAGACCTTAGAAGAGGTCCTAAGTGATAAAAATGGTGCCCAATAGCTAGATTTGTCTCATGCATGAACTAGGAAGGTCTTAATGGATTAAGACCATGTGTTAAGAACTTTCTGGACGCCCAAAGTGATAAAGTTTGAGACTTTATAGTCCTATGGCACATTTGGTCGATGGATCTGGAGTTTGGGCTTAAGTGCTTAAGCCATTAAGCACTTATTAGGGTTTTGGTGAAACCCCGCGTACGCCCACCGTAAATCCAGTACGCCCAGCGTACTGGGTCAACCACCCCGATGGTGGTCAACATCAGGACGAGTACGCCCCGCGTACCAGAGGAGTACTCCCCGCGTACGTCCTCTGTTGGGCCTTTGACATTTGGGCTTCGGGTTTTGGGTCGTGTATGGACTAGTTGGATTTGGGCCTTTGCTGGACTTTATGAATATTATGTTTTGGGCCAAGTTTTGATAATGGATCTTGGATTTAGGCCCAATTAGGGAGTTGGGCCCAATTTGATAAATTGGGCCAATAATGGGCTTTGCATAAGGGCTTTTAAGGTTATGGAATTGGCATTGGGCCTTGGCCCAACAAAGAAAATGGACATGATGGATTGTATGGACCCCCATTAGTCAAGATTGTTATGTTGTGTAATGACTTGGTATTTATTATGTGATAGTTCGGGATTTTTGGTGAGATAGCGGTTCGGGAGCTCGGTTCTTCAGTCACATCGACATTTCGAGGTGAGGTATCCTCACCGTACTCAAGGGTCTAAGGCACCAAGGCCGGCCCTTTGATTTGTGATTTGTTATTTGGGTTTGTTACTATTGTGATCTGTTAGATCGGTATTCTGGTAGATATGATGGTTATATGTTGGTATGATCTGTTAGATTGGTATCCTGGTAGACAGGATGGTTATATGCTGTTGTGATTTGTTAGATTGGTATCCTGGTAGATATGATGGTTATATGTTTGTATGATATGTTAGATTGGTATCTTGGTAGATAGGATGGTTATATGCTGGTATGATCTGTTAGATCGGTATCCTAGTAGATATGATGGTTATATGCTGGTATGATTTGTTAGATCGATATCCTGGTAGGTAGGATAGTTATATGCTGATATGATCTGTTAGATCGGTATCCTGGTAGATAGGATGGTTATATGCTAGTATGATCTGTTAGATCGGTATCCTTGTAGATCGGATATGGTTATGCTTAGTGACCTATAGTTTGGCCTGACTGTCTGTATGTTGGTAGGAGATTACATGTTATATGTGCACATGATTGATTGGTAGTTGGGGGTATTCCATCCCGAGGATGATAGGACCCTAGTATGTTGTCTTTATAGACTGTTATATGATTATCTGATATATGTGCACATGTTTGATTGGTTATGTTGGCATTCCAACCCCGGTGGTTGAGGGCCTGGGGTATTCCAACCCGATGGTTGATTGGACCATAGTATGTTGGCATTCCAACCCGATGGTTGAGGGCCTGGGGTATTCCAACCTGATGGTTGATTGGACCCATAATATATTGGCATTCCAACCCGATGGTTGAGGGCCTGGGGTATTCCATCCCAATGGATGATTGGACCCATAGTATCTGTTATATATGTTTTGTGTGTGGGCATTCCAACCCGATGGTTGCGGGCTGAGTATCCCATCCCGAGGATGATTGGACTTGTAGTATGTGGGCATTCCAACCTGATGGTTGAGGGCCTGGGGTATTCCATCCCGATGGATGATTGGACCCATAGTATGATGTTTGTTATTGTATGCATATTGTTGTGTATAGGTATTTTGGGGGTAACTCACTAAGCTTTCGGGCTTATAGTTTCAGTTTATTGTTTCAAGTTCAGCGGATGACCGCGGGAAGGCGAAGGCGTGACCGTACACTTCCTCGATTGATGATTATGATTTTTGGGAACTCTGATGTTTAAACTATTTTGAAAACAAATTGTAATAACTGAATGATTTTAAATGATTTAAAAAGTTTTAAATTGGCTCGAATTTTACGGATGTTACATTTATTTTTAAATTAATAAAACTAATATCCCAAACATCATCATAAAAATCCAAATAAAACTAATGTATCGATATCAGAGTAAATCACAAAATGCAGAAGGAAGTGGTGTGTGCTCTGCAATCATCTCGGGCTCTTCACTTTCCGATAGTTTAGTAACTTCAAATGAATTAATGTCTTTATCTTTTGTAGCCTTAACCACCATTTATAATTTTTCGCTAAGCAAATAGCTTCCAATTTGTCATGTTGTAGATTTGCACACTCTTATTTGAAAGCCCCCAATAACATATTTGAATCCCAAGTTGAACTTAAGCTATTCTTTACTTTTGAACAGTGGAAACCACTTCACATATAAAGAATAATTGTAGACTGCAACACCTTTATGTTTTTAATATGATAATTCGGGTAATGGTAAGGTTCATGCATCCCTCAATGTGTGGTTTTTTTTCTTCAGAATCTGGAAAATAATAAAGAATCTTTTACTCTCAGCCTTTTTGAGCTTGTTGGGGCTTAGTTTCCTTATCTTCAGATTCAATCTCATCACCAACAAATTCAGTGAAGCTCTAGAACTATTCCACTTGATCTCCATTTGGAATTATATAACCATCATCAACCAACAACATTAGTTTTGCCTGATCATTTTCAGATTCAACATTAAATGCTAGAACAACATCAACAACAACCTTATCGTTATACCTAAAATCACCCTTTCTACAAGCCCGTTGTAAGAACATAGACAATAAATTACAAATTTGATTACTCCTAGCACTGAAAGAACCATTGCCAACAGAATGATTTTCCCTTGGAAATTGATTAATACCATTTTCCATAAGATAATTAGCAACAAACAATTGCGCTATGTTTGGAGGCATACTAGTAACAAAACTAAGAAAATATGTTTGGGGGTATTTGATTAGTGTGTAACATGGACTTCGAAACAACCAACATAATTAACCCATAAAAATTGATATCACTGCTTATATCTACACCACAACATGTGTAGTTTGGGGAATTCGAAGCAACCAACGTAATTAACCCACAAAAGTTGATATCGCTGGTTATATCTACACCAAAACATGTGACATGGTAGTATTTGATTAGTGTGTAACCTGGACTTCAAAGCAACCAACGTAAGTAACCCATAAAATTTGATATAAGTGCTTAATGCGACACCAAAGCATGTGTAGTCTGGAGCAATATACTGCATAGTTCGTTCCCATTGTCATCCACTAGAAACAAGTACTTTAAAAAATTCCTTATACAAACTCATTTTTTAGTATCCAAAAGCTTTATTAGTATATGCACCAAAAATGAAAATACAAATACCCTTTATATTAATGGTCTGAAACATATCATCGGAAAGTCTGTACATGAACATATTCTTCGGAATACAATTTTTTAGTCCAGAACATATGGGTGTCAATTTTTGGACAAGACTTCTATCAATCATCACCAACTCCAAAATAATCATAAATACTCCGAAATGTGGTATTCCGAAATGGAGGATCATTTTTGGAAAAGTAAAAAAAAATGATTATTTTTAATTTTCAACTACTTCATTTATAATGGTTAGATTATTCAATTTCCCATAAATATAATGCATAGTAATTTATTTAATATAAACGAACCTCATATAAATTAAAGTTATCCATAAAAATTTAATATCACTTTTTATTTTACCCGATCAATATAATATTAATTCTATCATTTAGAATAGAAGTTTGTATTTTTATAGTTCTTTATATGATTATATGATTTACGTAAAGAAAAACATTTTCACCTGCTCACATATTTGCGTAAAAATTGCCTATCTCATTATACCAATATACCATAAACATACGAAATGTTTATAATATTTGATGTATTTAATTTTATAAAATAAATAAGTACTCCAATATTTAACAAAAACTCATTTACCAAAGCCTACCCACTTAGTTACCACACCGTCCTCTTTCTCTCTCTCTCTAAATCTTGGAAAACCAAGATGCTCTGCAAACTGATCGAATAAGTCGTCGATCATCTGATGATATCAAGATCTCAAATTAATCTATCTCTCTCTCTCCATTGTACAGGTAGTGGAATTTCTCTGCTACGTTTTTGGTTGCGTTGGGATGGGGATTAAACACGCACAAGGAATGTTATCACGGTGTACTGTGGACGACGATAGTAAAGTCGATGGTCGATGATACAAGATTTGGTTTTGAGATGGGTTGAAAGGATGATTATTGGTGTTACGTTGGATTGCGGACCCCACAGAGGTCGACAGATGAGCCTATGAGGGGAAGTCGTTGGTGATTTAATGAGGGTGGGGGTGGGGTGTGGGAACCGTGTAGTATCACTTAAACCTCACCACGTACTACGTAGTATGATACACTTAAATATTTATGACGACGCCTATGATGTAAAGAGAGGTATCCATAGTCATGAAAAGCAAATTGCAGAAAATCACAAAAAGTCGCAAGCTATTATCCAGATATCCATGATTGTCGTCAAAGTCAAACCCAGCTTTTATAAACATTAAATTCTGACCCTTTTCGTCATTGCATTCGACGAATAGTAAATCAGATCTCTCTTCCACACCCACCACTAACTAGATTATAGATATCTCCAAAACCATTTAAATCACTTAATTATCTCATAATAATAAAACTCAATTTCTGCAGTTTGATTGGTGAAGATGCAGGCGGCAGCGCTCGCCGGAGATGATCTGGCGAGGTCAATGAGTTTTTCATCTTCCGGTAGGAGGAGCTGGGCTTCCGCTAGTATCAGGGAGGCTTTCTCGGCGGCACCAGGAGGTGGTGATCATGCTTTTGCCACAAGTGGGCGCCACGAACACGACGATGAAGAAGAACTCAAATGGGCTGCAATCGAGAGGCTCCCTACATACGACAGATTAAAGAAAGGATTCTTGAAGCAAGTTCTTCATAATGGACAAATTGTTCATCAAGAAATCGATATCACAACTCTTGGACCTCAAGATAAGAAACTACTTATGGAGAGCATACTCAAAGTAGTAGAAGAAGATAACGAAAAGTTTCTACATAGAGTTCGAGCCAGAACCGATAGGTGAAATTAAAACCTGTATAAGTGAGTTATATTAAATTTTAAATTTAATTAATAAATAGTAATATTACTATATTTTAAACAGGGTCGGGATTGATATTCCAAAGATCCAAGTACGCTACAAGAACTTGTCGATCGAAGGAGACATTCATGTCGGGTCCAGAGCTCTTCCTACTTTACTAAACGCCACCATCAATACCATGGAGGTTAGTATGCTGATTTTTAGTACTTCATAAAAATCGATACTTTCTAAACTTTTATTTGTTACGGATAGGGACTTCTTCGATTCTTTAAGCTTGTTCCATCGAAGAAAAAAATGATCAAAATCTTATGTGATGTGAGTGGGATTGTGAGGCCATCGAGGTACGTTTGGCGCCAATTTTAAACATCGGGAAGCGATTAATTTTTTATTTTAATTTTACTGAATTTTCATTTTCAGGATGACGTTACTTCTTGGACCTCCTAGTTCTGGAAAGACGACATTGCTGAGGGCACTTGCCGGAGTACTGGATTCAGATCTCAGAGTCGCCGGAGAAGTTACTTACTGTGGCCACCGGATGTCGGAGTTTATTCCTCAGAGGACTTGTGCATATATTAGCCAACATGACGTCCATCATGGTGAGATGACAGTTAGGGAGACGTTTGATTTTGCTGGGCGGTGTCTTGGTGTAGGAACCAGGTACGACCTCCTGGAAGAACTTTCACGACGTGAGAAAGATGAAGGGATTAAACCAGACCCGGAAATCGACACTTTCATGAAAGCGACTGCAGTATCTGGTCAAGAATCTAGTTTGGCCACAGATTATGTTTTAAAGGTTTATCTCAAACTCTCTGTTTATTGTTGAAAATTCTAGTTAGTTTAATGGCAACATTAGTTGATTTGAACAAAATGCATACAGATTCTTGGATTAGATATTTGTGCTGATACCATGGTAGGTGATGAGATGAGAAGAGGAATCTCCGGTGGACAGAAAAAACGTGTCACTACCGGTATTATTTCATGTTCGCGTGTCTCTATATGCTTGGGCCCATTGTTTAGGCACAAGACACCAACTATAAGACAACTTTGGACTCTCATAATTCATATATACACAATTTCCAAAATCTAACTCGCCTATTTTTTTACAACCAAAACCAACTATTCAATTCTCGTTGGGGACATAGATTGAAATTACAAGTGGTTAGATTTGCCGTTAAAAAAAAAAACAACTATTTCTACACTCTAAGCTTTCAAACGAGTTGATAACTTCAAACAATATTTTTTTTTCTTTTTCTAATTTCAGGAGAGATGTTGGTTGGGCCTGCAAAGGTTTTCTTCATGGACGAAATTTCAACTGGTTTAGACAGTTCAACAACTTTTCAAATCGTCAAATACATGAAACAACTGGTTCACATAATGGATGTAACCATGATCATTTCCCTTCTTCAACCCGCACCCGAAACATTTGAGCTATTTGACGACATCACACTCCTCTCTGAAGGTCAAATCGTCTACCAAGGCCCACGTGAAGACATTCTTGATTTCTTCTCAAGTGCAGGATTCAAATGCCCAGAAAGGAAAGGAGTTGCAGATTTTTTGCAAGAAGTCACTTCAAGAAAAGACCAACAACAGTACTGGTTCAAAACAAACGAACCATACCATTACATCTCCGTATCTGAATTCAGTCAGCTTTTCAGCCAGTTTGAAACTGGTGAGCGCCTTTATGATGATCTTGCCATTCCTTATGACAAAACCCAAATGCATCCAGCTGCTTTGGTGACTAAGAAGTATGGTATTTCAAACATGGAGCTCCTTAAAGCAAACTTAGCAAGAGAATGGCTGTTGATGAAACGTAATGCTTTCTTGTACATATTCAAGACGACTCAGATTACTATTATGTCGGTTATTACTTTCACGGTGTTCTTTAGAACCGAAATGAAGAGTGGTAGCCTTGAAGATGGTAGGAAGTTTTTTGGTGCTCTGTTCTTCAGTCTTCTGAATGTAATGTTTAATGGGGTTGCTGAGCTGGCTAATACGGTTATGAGGCTGCCTGTGTTCTTCAAACAGAGGGATTCATTGTTTTACCCTGCATGGGCGTTTGCAATACCCATATGGATCATGAAGATTCCTATATCAATCATGGAGTCAGTAATATGGATTGTTCTAACATATTACACTATTGGGTTTGCTCCTTCTGCTAAAAGGTAAGCAATTAAATATTTTCTGAAACTAATTAAATGAGATTGAAACTTGAATGAATATAACATGATTGATGTTTCCCTATTTGAATATTTATCAGATTTTTCCGGCAGCTTTTGGCTTATATTGGCCTGCATCAAATGGCTTTGTCTCTTTTCCGTTTCATTGCTGTACTTGGAAGAACACAAGTAGTTGCAAATGCTCTTGCCACCTTTTCTTTGCTATTAGTTTTTGTACTCGGTGGATTCATTGTTGCAAAAGGTATATATCCTAGCTATTGTTTTTACTTTTCTGTACTCGATTGAGCATGTTTATAACTTATCTTGTTTCTTGTAGATGACATTGACCCATGGATGATATGGGGATATTACATTTCCCCAATGATGTACGGACAAAATGCTATTGTGATCAATGAGTTTTCAGATGATAGATGGAGCACTGTAAGCTTCATATCAAAAGAATAAATTTTTTGTGCATGTTTTTGAAATAAATAGCTTTCACTTGTATGACAGCCGAACCCTGATCCACGAATTAGTGAACCAACTGTTGGGAAGGTTCTACTCAAGTCAAGGGGAATGTTCACAACCGATTATATGTTTTGGGTTTGTGTCATTGCACTCTTCGGATTTTCACTTTTATTTAACCTCTTCTTTGTGTTAGCTCCGACATATTTGAACCGTAAGACTGTCCTTTCTGTTTATTTGTTTAATCTTTTGTTATCCGCAAGAGTTCTTGTTGCATCTTATAAACAATTTTGATCCTATATCCAGCTCTTGGGGATTCAAAAACTGTTGTTCTGACAGAAGATGAGCAGAATCAGAAGCACCCACAAATAGAAATGGCAGGAAGAAACATCGTTAAGAAGGGAATGGTTCTCCCATTTCAGCCACTCTCACTAGCATTTAATCATGTCAATTACTATGTAGCCATGCCTGCTGTAAGTGCCGGTTATAACAAGATTCAAAAACTTGATTTCCTCGGATAATCTGTGGAAGAATGACATAAACATTTGACAAATTTATCAGGAAATGAAAGAACAAGGAATCGAAGAGGATCGTCTGCAACTGCTACAAGATGTCAGTGGCACATTCCGCCCAGGCATTCTGACAGCTTTGGTTGGAATCAGTGGGGCAGGAAAGACGACATTGATGGATGTTTTAGCTGGAAGAAAGACTAGTGGGTATATTGATGGAAGTATCAGCATCTCTGGTTACCCTAAAAAACAAGAAACATTTGCTCGTGTCAGTGGATACTGTGAACAAAACGATATCCATTCTCCCCATGTCACTGTTTATGAGTCCCTTGTGTACTCTGCCTGGTTACGCCTTGCTCCAGACATAACCACGGAAACAAGCCAGGTAATAAATTTTCTAGTTTTCACAACTTTTACCATTTTACTCCCGCCATGTAGCACGATGATATCTTCATAGAAACAAATACAGTATGGGAGTTCAATTCCAATGTGGATTTGGATTCTAGTGGAGATCGGGTTCTTATGCTAGCCAACTAGCAATAGGGCAGTTCTGGTGTGCTCGAAGAATAACCCTTTTGTAGAAACCTTTGATCATTACTCTAAACATACCAACAACTACATGTCTTTTAGATGTTTGTGGAAGAAATCATGGATTTGATCGAACTGAACCCGTTAAGGAATGCAATAGTTGGGCTTCCAGGAGTAGATGGTCTTTCAACCGAACAAAGAAAGAGGCTGACAATAGCAGTAGAATTGGTTGCAAATCCATCAATCATCTTCATGGATGAGCCCACATCAGGCCTTGATGCAAGCGTACTGTTAGAAACACAGTCGACACTGGTCGAACAGTTGTATGCACAATCCACCAACCAAGTATCAATATTTTCGAGGCTTTTGACGAGGTAAGTCATCTAAAGTTGAAGTACTTGGTTTCCATTTCTTGGATTCAATGTTCTTTAAATCTTACTTCACATGTTATTACAGCTATTGTTGATGAAAAGAGGTGGGCAGGTCACTTACACCGGACCTCTTGGGCACCATTCTAACAAGCTAATAGAATATTTTGAAGTGAGTGCATCCTTGCTTTTCATGCTCCCATTCATGCAACAAAAAAATATATAATAACTCGAACAAACTTGTCAGTCTATTCCTGGAGTTAACAAAATCAAAGAAGGTCAAAATCCAGCCACATGGATGCTCGAAGTTAGTTCTTCAACAGTTGAAGCTCAACTTGGTGTTGACTTTGCAGATATTTATGTCAACTCTGATCTTTATAAGTATGAATCTAGAATTCCTAAGCATCAACTTTTAGATTCTACTAAGTGTCTTACTAATGGGTTATGTTGAACAGGAGGAACCAAGAGCTCATTAAGGTGCTCAGTACACCGGTAACAGGGTCCCATGACCTTTACTTCCCTACAAAGTACTCTCAATCCTTTTGGACACAATGCATGGCTTGTTTATGGAAACAACACTGGTCTTACTGGAGGCATCCACAATATAATGTTGTTCGGTTCTTCATGACGACAGTGATTGGCATTCTCTTTGGATTGATTTTCTGGGACAAAGGCCAAAAAACGTATGATATTTGAAATCAAACACATCATTTTCAAATTAAGAATATAATTCTAGAAGATTTTGTGTCATTTTGACAGTGACAAATAACAAGATGTAATGAATCTGATGGGAGCTATGTATGCTGCTGTACTTTTTCTTGGTGGGACAAACACTTCAGCTGTACAGTCTGTGGTGTCTATAGAAAGAACGGTTTTCTACCGTGAGAAAGCAGCAGGAATGTATTCAGCAATCCCTTACGCATTTGCTCAAGTACAATAAAACTGTTTAACTTTTTCTGTTTCTTTTTAGTTTTTATGGAAAACTGAAACTAGATCATTATTTTGGTTGAAGGTGGCTATTGAGGTGGTTTATGTAGGCATACAGACGGTCATATACAGTCTTCTGATTTACTCAATGATTGGGTTCCAGTGGTCAGCAGACAAGTTTCTATGGTTCTACTTTTACATATTCATGTGCTTTGTCTATTTTACATTATACGGGATGATGCTTGTAGCCCTCACTCCAAATTATCAGATTGCAGCCATTACGATGTCGTTCTTCCTTAGTTTCTGGAACTTGTTTTCTGGTTTCATGATCCCCAGAACGGTATGACAACTAATCTAGAGTGATACTTAATTAGAATGAATTAAGTTACAAAATCTAACAAAACTAACCTGAACTTTGCAGCAAATACCGATCTGGTGGAGGTGGTATTACTGGGGTTCACCGGTGTCGTGGACTTTATACGGTCTGATCACATCTCAGCTTGGTCAAAACGAAAGCCTCCTAGAGGTTCTAGACCAGAATTCTGTTACAGTTAAGGAATTCATTAAAGAATTTCTAGGGTTTGAGTATGATTTTCTCGGATACGTTGCTTTGGCTCATGTTGGTTGGGTCGTTCTCTTTTGCGTTGTCTTTGCCTACGGCATCAAGTTTCTGAACTTCCAACGAAGATAAGGAAATCAACGAAGATGTAAATGTGTTTACTTAATCATAGAAAATATAAATACTTTCATCAAACCGCATAAACCACACCGTATGTATAATGCAATTTAGAACAATTGTGGTGTGGTATGCTTGCGGTTTTTTTTTTAATTAGAAAACTACCGTCCAAACCGCATTGCACCGCGGCATATGCTTTTATAATGACGATTTAATTTGAATGTAAGAAAAGATAGAACAGTTAAATTATGTTTTATATTGATCATTAATTATGCAAATATGAATAAAGCGGTACACACAATATCATAAACTAGACTTTTAGAATGAGAATGGAGTATTCGACTAAACTAACCACAGGACCTAGGTTGAAATTAAGAATGCGAAGAAATGCTGTTGGAATTATATATGGGCTAATGTCAATCTAGCCGTACAAACTTTTTGGGTTAAATGGTCATTTTCGAAAAACCGAAACGGCTACCCAGTTACCTTCTACTTTGTCATTAAAATGGGTCCACATGACTTTTGACTATCTAGTTGGCATCTTGACATTGACTCTTTCCCACTCTCACTCTATCTCTCTCACAGACTCAAACATACACATATACACACTGACACACACCACCATTGAAGAAAAAAATCAAACTACCAAAGCATATTTCTGAAAGCATCGTTCCATCGTCTTTAACATCTAAAACAAAAACACCCGGTAAGAAGATGAACCAAAAAATGTAAGCTGCAAGTACATTGATCTTAACCTCCTTCATCATCAAAATATCGAATCTTGAAAATGGGTTTTGTTTATTTGATGCTTTTTGATAATTTACTGCCATTAATGGACTTTTTGATTGGAAAAAGCTTGTAGGTTCGGCAGTGAAGTTGATCTGGGCAAGTTTCTTGGCAGCACAGATGTCATTCTAGATGCTTATCGATTTCACACGACTCCTTCTGGGATCAAAGTTCTGGCTTTCAACTGTTTACTGGATTACGTAGACTACACGGTCCGTTTTTGGAATGGAGAGTTCGATCTTGTGTCGTCAGAAAACCACACAGTCTTGGACTTCATTTCCACAAAAGTCAACCCCAAATTCTCCATTACAAACCTACGGTCTCTCTGCTCCTCGCCACTAATAACCTCCCAATCAAAACCCCACAAACCCAAAACCTTCCCCGCCTCTTTGAAGATTGTAATCAAGCTTATATCTTGAAATTTTATCTAAGCTCAACAATTTTCAAACTTCCCGTCATGGATTCCGTGGAGAAGACTCCGAAAGCTGGGCAGTGATTCCGACGACCACCACCATGTCACACCCATCTCTGATCATCTAATCCTGTTTTCCGACGAGGTGTTTGGTATAGATTTGAAATCCATCAGAGCACGATCTCTTTTGTGACTGTTTCATTTTCGTGAGGTTGATTCAGGTCGTCTCTAGTGGTTCTCAGAGATATGTAAGGAAATTGAAGGGCGGAAACAAAGGGGGAGACGGGGGAGAAATTAACGATGGTGAGTTATATGGAGATGATGAAATAAAAACAATGATCGTGTCACGATCTCTTATCTGGGTTTTTGGGACGAATTTGGTATTTAAAAAAAAAGATGGGTTTTTCTATTCTTGAATCACAAGAGAGTGAATGGCCTTCAAGGTGTTATTTAAGATGTGGGTTGGGATTGATTTTCATTTTGATTTTAACCTAAGAAAAATTATTATTTATCATAAAATCCAAGTGGATGCCATCTAAGCATCACACTTTGAGAGGTGGAGGTGAGGTGGATGCTACAATAGCATGATAACCTCCTATAATTGGTTAAATGGTCTTAATACCAGGTAAAAACAGACTTCGAGCCGCTCGACCACGTCGTGGAGACGTTGGCAGATCCATAATCTCATTTAGTCCTTAACAGGGGCGGTTCAACCAGTTTAGGGGCTCTAAGCGAACCAAAACTTTGGGGGCCTTTATCATTACTATACTTAATGTTATAAATTAAACCCTCATCCTTTCCAAAATCCAACTTGACACAATAAATATTAAAAAAAAAAAATTAAGTCATATTAACCGTAATAGATAGTCTAATCGAAAAAAAAGAATCAGTCAAGACTATTCTATAATCTACATAAAAGTTTAAAAAACAGATTTGCTCATTTTGTGCAGAAAATAAAAAACAGATTTCTACATGACTACATCAAACAAAACTTCATCAAAATAACAAAATTTATCGATTATCATAGATTATCAAAATTATTACAAATTCACAATCATAGATAATCAACAATGAAGAATAGACTGAGTTATGGTGAAATAGAGAATCAGAGGAAGAACCGGAGAAGAACAATAGAACATACCTTTTCAACCTTTCAAATTTCAGGATTCAGGAAAGCAATCACCAAATCGGTTGAATTAATCTTGACACTTGACATCCTTTTCAAAAAATAATCAATCAACTTATCAAAAATCTCCGGAAAGAAGATTAGAAGAAGAATAGAAAATCAGAGAAGTAATGGTTTTGTGCGGTTCTGGGTAGAATCAAGAATGAAATCACTAATAAGTTAATTAGATTCAGAGGACAAAGCAAGAAGAAGAAGTGAATAACAATCGTCGAGTCGCCGTTTCTGCCGAATGGTGAATGAAGAATCTGATTAAACGATCCCCTAATTTAATTTTGGGCTAAGGGGCCCCCTTAGAATTTGGGGCCCTAAGCAAGGGCTTATTTTTTTGTATAGTAAGGTCGGCCCTGGTCCTTAATATGCTAGGTCCAACATTCCAGAAGGCTTAATGGCACCCTAATGGACCATAAAAATCCCAACTTTATCGACATGCGTGTCCACCATAAAGGAAATCCAAATCTGGAGCATATAAGACTGTTGGGACCTCAAAGATCAATAAAGTTGCTAACTTTATCAAGAACAAGCCCCTAAACCTAGATTTACAAGGAAAATAACCACCAAGATCTGATTTAGAAGACTTACAGAAGTCTAATGAGTGCACAAGAGATTGAGGTGATACTTGCTTTCTTATCTCTTGCTCCACAAATCCTTCCATCTTCCTTTAAAGATCAAAAACCACCAAATGGAGCACAAAATGGAGAGGAGACGAGTGAGGGTTTGGATGATAATGTTTCTGAGTTGATGGAGGCTATGGGTGGTTGATATCCTAGCCCCCATATCCTTTATATAAGGCCCAAATCTCGAAACTTTGGGTTTTATACCTGTTGCAGCGCCACACTGCAGCCTCATTTAATTATTGTTCCATGGTGACGTCTCACCACCACGCCATGGCAAGCAAATCACCACGTTGTGGGACCAAAAGGCATTCCCGATGTCTGCCAACCACTGTCTGCTAGCGATGGGGTCCTTCGTCCCAAAGAACTCAGGAGCACCACATGCACGAAACTCTCAAAAAGTCAAAGAGCGTGCACCCACCATAGCCACCATCTCCGTACGGAATGCGCACAGACTCTCATTTATCAACTCCAGAATGTCCTCCTTGATCGAACCAAAGATTACAGGGGTCTGCTCCAAAATGATGTGGGTAATCTCATATGAAATGAACTCCCACATCTGATCATCCATGGGTCCAGCTCCAGAGCCTGAACCCGATCCCTCACCAGGACCTGAACCACCTCGAGTGACCACCATACTGAAAATAAACAATGCCAACCACCATAGCCACCGTGTGAGTTCCTTAGTATCCTCGAGACTCCCTTAACTCGAGTACGGATCCTATGCTTTCAGTAGTACGGACCCAATACTACCTTCCACACCTATACGTACTTTCCTCAAGAGTCGCCCTGACTCCCCTAAATAACTCCCATACCTGACATTCTACATTCCCACTAAACAACGCATCCGCTAAGCTAGCATGCTTCCTAGGTTCTCTTAAGATTCCCTTCCCGCTACTCTCCACCATCAGCTGCAGAAGAAACTCCCACTAATATCCGCTAACTACCTTACGAATATAATTACATGCAACAGACACTAGATAATTCTTTGACTGCAAGATCCCACACTACAACGGTTGGACTCAAACAAGAGCTGCGCAATAGAGTTAAACCTAGCCTACTAAAATTATTTAATTTCCATAACATGTAACCTAACATATGGGTTTGATAGTTAACTAGTATTAGTAGTGATTCATAAAAGCACAAAGCAAGCAACATTCGAGCATCAAGTTCTAACTAGAGCACTGCCTAACAGGTCATCCTAACATATCATCTGTAATCCTTACTAGCATGCAATTCTAGAGGCTCATACAATAGGCATACAAAGACATCTCTCCTAACATACAATTCTAAGCAGATCTTTAGCCCTAATCTAGCATGATATTCACATAATGAATCAACAAACATGTATGGGTATTTTTGGAACACTTACTTGAGCCCGGCCGATTGCATGCATCACACCCCTCTTTCTAGTAGAAATCTCTTTAGAAAATCATTTTTTTATGAAAAGCTTACCAAATCCTCAGTTTGAGTTCGGACACACCCGAGAGTGCACCCGAATCCCTCAAACCAAGGCTGATACTAACTTGTAATATCCCAAAAATCATAAGTAAAAATTTCATTTTTAAGTCAACCAAAGCCATCAAATATTCATATTAAACCATCAAAATATGTCAATGTGAAAATAGTAATCACATTACAATCTCAAAATCATAAAAGTTGAATACTGGTGGATGCTATGTGATAATACTGAGCCCTTCCCTTTTGAACCGGAAGTACCTGAAAAACATTTAAACATAAACCGTAAGCACAAAGCTTAGTGAGTTCCCCAAATACCACATACCATACATCATACATACATATCATACTAGAACATGCAACGAGTCTATTTCACCCCCCGAGTCCCTTCCGACTCCCTAAGTCCCTTCCGACTCTCCGAGTCTCTTCTGACTCCTTCAGTATCTTTCAACCAGTATGGGTCTATTTCACCCTTTATAGCTAAGCATACAATCATACTAGCAAGAGTCACAAAGACAGCAAATACATACAGGCATATGAGTAAGTGTCACGAAGACCACTACTATCCTACAACATCATCTAGTGGGCCGACATTGGTGTCTTCGACCCACAAGTACCGTGGGGAGACTCACCTCTATCTAAAGATAAATAATTCACAATCGCAGGTTGTTGCTACCACGACTCCTCACATTGAACATATCCAAAATTAACCCTAATAAATAATCAGGGTAATAACCCATAATAAATGGCCCAAATCATAATCTCTCTTACAAAGGGCAAAATACCCTTTTACCCTTCCTACTCTAGGCCCAACTAACCATGGCCCAAGGCCTAAAATGGCCCAAAAGGGCTTCAAGTGAGTACGCCCTGCGTACGCCCATCATACTGGACCTTCACCGAATGGGAACACGGGCTAAACCGTTATGTCGTGCGTACCTGTAGAATACGCCCATCGTACTCGTTAGCTGTCCAAAAATGGTTATTAAGCTCTTAATTCTTAAAGACTTTTCGTCCAACTCAGAGAACTTATCCTAAGGAACATCTTAACTTATAAAGTTGACAACTTGATGCCTTTGCATGGCTCAAAGAAGCCCAAAACCAAACTCTAACTGCCTAACTTCATATTATGAACAACAACTCAAGCATGGTTGAACCAAAGCCACCAAGATACGATTTTTATGCATTAGGGACCTTAGAAACATCAAGAAATGCTAACCTAAGCTTCTGGAGTAGCTTTTACTCATAATAATCAACCCATGGGACCAAAATATGCCAAAACCTTAAGCTAAACTAGATCTAAGCAATGAACCATAAAGGTTGAGACTTTATACCTCCAGAAGGATGATCAAGATGAACAAGGTCTGGATCTACAAGCTCCAAGCCAACCAACACTTCTCCAATGAGCTCCTTCTTCTTCAGTATGCACCAAAAACACACCAAATCACTCAAGTGGCTCAAGAATCTCACAAATGGGGCTAGGGTTTCGAGAGGATTGCTTTAGAGGACGGAGGGTGAAGATACAACCAGCCACAAGAGAGATAATAAGGTTTTATAGGTCCAAACCCTAAAATTTAGGGTTTGCCTTTGCCACGAGTACGCCCAACGTACTCTAGGTACGCCCAATGTACTCTAGGGAAATCACGGCCACATTTTAATGAGTTACGCCCGACATAACTATCAATTACGCCTGGTATAACTATAAATTACGCCCAATGTAATGACCTTTCATGCAATAATCAACTATTTAAAAAAAACTTAAGAAAATTACCTGGGAACCGGCCGTTACAGTTTGAGCATAAAAGGTTTGTAATGGAATAGGTTGAGATGGAATTATGGCTAATTTAATTGTGTGTTATGTAAGTTTGAGGGTGGGGTTATGGCTAATTTAACAAAGTGATTCAAGTAAGTAAAAATAAGGACACCGTCTTCATTCAAGATAGGTTTAGGGCTTGATAAAATGCATCTATAAATACAGATTCACTGGAAGAACAAAATTGATAGAACAATGTTTACTTGAAACATACCTAAAGTTCTGATACCATGTTAGTAAACATGTATATGGATCAATAGATCAAGAAGATGAAGTTCGGAGATGTAGAGAAACTGCAACCAATGCCTCTTTGTTCGATTAAAGAGAAAAACATACAAAGAAAATACAATACAATTGGTATTAACCTAGCTACTTAGGATTAATTACAGAAACTATCTCTAACTATTGATAAATACAAAATATAACCTTGACATATGCTAACAAAAAAAGATGAACCTTATCGCACTATATTAACTACTAGGTGTAAAACCCGTATAATACACGGGTTGATTAAAAAGATTAAATATCAAAGCGTAAATAATAAATATTTTTTAAAATAAAATTTTGAAATAAGGAATGAAAAACATATTAATTGTAATTTATTATCATATTTATTACATTTAATACTTTACATATATAAGTATAAGTATTATGTGACTTTAATTTTAAAAATTGAAAAAATCAAAAAATTGACATGTGGATATTATTTTATTTTAAAAATATCATAAAATGACAAGTGTCAAAACTTATGAGAAATTGACATATGACAAAAGTGATCTTTATTTATTATAATAGATTAAGTACCAACCAGTCATATGATTGACAAAGCAACCATTGTAGTCATATGATTGACAAAGCAACCATTGTAATCTCAGTAACTTTGAAACTTTCACTCTTCCTCTCTAGAATCTATTTTCTCTTTCTAGACTCTCATTATTAGAGTGAAGATAACAACGCTACAAATATGATCTTGACAAAGCAACCGATTATTTGACAACGCCTCTCATGATCAATGTACCTCATCAGTTAAATATAAAAATCTCCCCCTAAATGTTTGTAACTGAGCAGTACTTCAATTTTCCTTTAATCATTAAACTCCCCTAAAATAGATGTCGCTCTCAAGTTCATCTAAAGGTCTCCTTTTTATAATTTTCACAGGAAAAAGGGTGTAGCTGCATCTCTGTAAGGGATAGTGTGACTTAGAATGTTGAAGCTTAAATGATTTATGGGTGTATAGGAACTGAAATTTCTAAACAACAAAGACAACTTCAGTGCTTTTGCTCACTGAACAGTTATGAAACTCCAGTCTGAACTAATTTTGTTGATCTTTTTAGTTTGGACTTGTCAGAAGTTGTAGACAACAAATCAAAATCATTCAGTGATTTTCTGAACTAATATCCCTCTAGTAGTTTGGAAACAATTGCTTCATAGATCTTTTAAAGCATTGAAGTGACTGATCACCAACGTATGTCTATTTCACCCATTATATATTCTTGTTTCTAAAGAGAAACTTCTACACCTTCTTGATTCCTAATCCCCTTTTTTTTATTTCATCAAGATTTTATGAAGGGTTTCTGGTTCTGCACATTTTAAGAACGACTTGTTTCTGGATTTTTTCAAGAAACTACCTAGTGGTCTCTGAGCATCCCTAATTTGTTTCTATTTTACCATGAAATTCCCTAAATTCATCTTCAAAGGGCTCGTGAAGTCGTCAAGTAATTGCATACAGAGAGAAGAACCGGGCCAGTAGTCGTCAAGTAACACTCCATTCGGTAAGTATATATCAATTTTCCTCCAGCATTTTATATATTGACAATCCAAGTCTGAATCGAAGTGTTTATCTAATGGTCTTTGTCCATCCTCATAGGCTAAGTGTTGACAATCAAAAACAATGCTTACATTTCTCTGCACAAATCAGCGGATGTTGATAAAGACCGACCACATCCATCTATCTCCAACTCAAATAACCCGACGACAAGAGGCACATGATCCACTATGGGACGATGTTATTCAAAAAGTATTTCATGCTCTTGCAGCTAACAATACTTGGGATATTGTGAGGTTACAAAAAGGAAGAAGCCAATACCTTTTAAATGGGTATACAAGCGCAACATTTTGGTACCAAAAGTGCTTTTTTTTTTCAGCTTCTCCATTAAAATAATATTATTATTTTAGTTATTACAATAGATGATCATAATAATAAATCTCATTAATTCAGAAACGACGAACACTACCTTATTTCATATTATATATATTCTAAGTAGCATGATAGAGATTGATATCCACGACACATAAAGGAATCTGTAGTCTTGTCTAAAAGCCACCCTCTTAAGTGATGACAAACGCATAATAGGCAGATTGCAGAAAAACTGAAAAGGTCGGAAGCTGTTCCACATACTAAGATGGAGACATGATATGTTATTGGTTCCATTAATAGCGAATCACATCTTACTTCCACGCCCACCACCAAAAAACTTGTCATCTTATGATTATGGCCATGGGTATTTCCAAAAGCATCAAAATCACTTATTTTCATAATAAAATTCAATTTAAGCAGCTTCAAATCTAGATTTCAGTTGGGATTTTCTGCAGTTTGAGTAGATGGCCGCAGCACCTGGAGATGATGTTGCCTTTTCCACAACTGAGCGGCAGGATGATGAAGAAGAGCTGAAATGGGCTGCATTGGAGAGACTCCCTACATACGATAGATTAAAAAAAGGAATCTTGAAGCAAGTTCTTGGTAACGGACAAATTGTTCACCAAGAAATCGATATCACAACTCTTGGACCTCAAGATAAGAAACTGCTTATAGAGAGCATACTCAAAGTAGTAGAAGAAGATAACGAAAAGTTTCTAAATAGAGTTCGAGCTAGAATCGATAGGTGAATGAAATCTACTAATTTTCAAGTTATTTATTCGTAAATCATAATATTATACGTGTTAAACAGGGTCGGGATCAATATTCCAAAGATTCAAGTAGGCTACAAGAACTTGTCGATCGAAGGAGACGTTCATGTTGGGTCCAGAGCTCTTCCTACTTTGCTAAACGCCTCACTCAACACCATGGAGGTTTGTTTGTCGATTTTTTAGTACTAAAAATTCATCAAATTCAACACTTTTTAACATTTTTAACCAAAATAGGGACTTCTTCGATTGTTTAAGCTTGTTCCATCGAAGAAAAGAGTTGTTAAAATCTTGCATGATGTGTGTGGGATTGTGAGGCCATCACGGTATGTTTCGCGCCATTTTCAAACATCTCGGGAAATTAACGGATAAATTTTTTATTTTAGTTGACCAAGTTTGACCTTTTCAGCATGACGTTACTTCTTGGACCTCCTGCTTCTGGGAAGACCACATTGCTGAGGGCACTCGCCGGAGTACTAAATTCAGATCTAAGAGTCACTGGAGATGTTACTTACTGTGGTCATCAGATGTCGGAGTTTATTCCTCAGAGGACTTGTGCATATATTAGTCAACATGATGTTCATTATGGTGAGATGACAGTTAGGGAGACGTTTGATTTTGCTGGGCGGTGTCTAGGTGTAGGAACTAGATACGACCTCCTGGAAGAACTTTCACGACGTGAGAAAGATAAAGGGATTAAACCAGACCCGGAAATCGATGCTTTCATGAAAGCGACTGCAGTGTCTAGTCAAGAATCTAGCTTGGCTACAGACTATGTTTTAAAGGTTTATCTCGAATTCTCTGTTTTTTTGTTCAAAATTTCTAGTTATTTTAATTGAGCTGATTTAAACTAAATGTAAATGTACAGATTCTTGGATTAGATATATGTGCAGATATCATGGTCGGTGATGCGATGAGAAGAGGAATATCTGGCGGAGAGAAAAAACGTGTCACTACTGGTATTATTTCAAGTCCACATGTATTATACTTGCGTTTGACGTGTAGCGGATTGAGACTAAAACTGATGTCAATTAAACAAAAATCACAAAACAGAAAGAGTATAAGTGAAAAACTCTAAAACCAGAGAAAAACCAAGATTTTGTTGAGAGAAATTCACTACATGACAACTTTTTTTTACATTCATACGGACTATTATCTACCGTAATCCCCAAGAAACCACACTTTTCAGCTTAACTCTTCTTTCTACACTCTAAAAAAACAAGAAAAAAGGAATCAAATACCTTAAATATTTTTTTAATATCAGTAAAATCTCAGTGAGTGGTGTACATTGAACTGCATCCACAATGCACAATTTAGTGGAATTATTAAATGAAATGACTTGTTGACATTTAATAGATTAAACTAAACTATAATGGATGACACGTTGAAGTTCTATGTTGTTAGATCACCATTGAATTGTTCAATGAAAAAAAATAATATAAACAATATAAAATTATTAACAAATTTATGATCTTTTTAAAATAAATAAATAAAATAGATTTTGTCAATTGGGAATAGCCCAATTCGTCAATTGGGAATAGCCCAATTGGTAAAGGCATAAACTCTTAGTTTGCGAGGATGGAGAGACCAGTGATCGATCCTTGGTGCTAACAAGAATTGGAGGATTGACACTAACACATAACCAGTCAAGCTGCAGTTCAAAAAAAAATTTCCATAATTCTTTTTTATAAAGAGCAGGACTAGACATAAGCTTTTAAGTTATTCTCAATGAGGAGGAGTAGAGCGTTCATGTTTTCCGCATGTTTCAATCGATTTGATAACATGAGACGATTTTTTGTTTTTTTTTTTCCAAATTTCAGGAGAAATGTTGGTTGGGCCTGCAAAAATGTTCTTCATGGATGGAATCTCGACCGGTTTAGACAGTTCGACCACTTTTCAGATCGTCAAATACATGACACAATTGGTTCACATCATGGATGTAACCATGATCATTTCCCTTCTTCAACCTGCACCAGAAACATTTGAACTATTTGACGACATTATACTGCTCTCCGAAGGTCAAATAGTCTACCAAGGCCCACGTGAAGACATTCTCGCTTTCTTCAAGAGTGTAGGGTTCAAATGCCCAGAAAGGAAAGGAGTTGCAGACTTTTTGCAAGAAGTTACTTCAAGAAAAGACCAACAACAGTACTGGTTCAAAACAAACGAACCATACTGTTACATCTCTGTATCTGAATTCAGTCAGCTTTTTAGCCAGTTTGAAACCGGTGAGTGTCTTTATGACGATCTTTCCCTTCCTTACGACAAAACCCAAATGCAACCTGCTGCTTTGGTGACCAAAAAGTATGGTATTTCAAACATGGATCTCCTTAAAGCAAACTTAGCAAGAGAATGGTTACTGATGAAACGGAATGCTTTCTTGTATATATTCAAGACGACTCAGATTACTATCATGTCGATTATTACTTTCACGGTGTTCTTTAGAACTGAAATGAAGAGTGGTCGACTTGAAGATGGTGGCAAGTTTTTTGGTGCTTTGTTCTTCAGTCTTTTGAATGTGATGTTTAATGGGGCTGTTGAGCTGGCATTGACGGTTAAGAGGCTGCCTGTGTTCTTTAAACAGAGGGATTCACTGTTTTACCCTGCATGGGCTTTTGCAATACCCATATGGATCATGAGGATTCCCATATCGTTCACGGAGTCACTAATTTGGGTTGTTCTAACATATTACACTATCGGTTTTGCTCCTTCGGCTAGTAGGCAAGTATCAACACTTTTGTGAAACTAAATTAGGTAGAAACTTGAACGAATCTAACATGTTTGAATATTTATCAGGTTTTTCAAGCAGCTTTTGGCTTATATTGTCCTACATCAAATGGCTTCGGCTCTTTACCGTTTAATGGCTGCCATTGGAAGAACGCAGGTCATAGTAAATGCTCTTGGTACCTTTATGTTGCTAGTGGTTTTTGTACTTGGTGGATTCATCGTTGCAAAAGGTATGTTTACTAAAAACCACCTCACAAAATTGTTATGGAGTGAAATTCTATAATTGAGGTCATGGGTTCAAAACCCGGGCACACTCTATTTACCGTCATTGCATCCACAAAGCATTCCACTTTATAAAGTTTAATGGATTGTCACATCATCATTCTACTTTTCATACAACTCTATCATCTTTTTTCTATAATGCATTAGATCCTACATAATTCAATGGAACATATTAAAAAGATCATTTATTACAAAACCTAGTTTATGATATCTATTTAAGGATTAAAAGTTTTCCTTTTTCCCATTGAAGAGTCCAATAGCCACTGAACTCCAAGGTGGCATCCCACTATTGAGTTTAATCCATTGAATGTTAAACTCGACATTCCACCTCATTGAACTCTTTTATTAAACTATACATGGTCAATTTTGCCCTCACATATATGGTTTAACCCTTTTTTATACATAGTATTTGTTTCTTGCAGACGACATTAAACCTTGGATGATATGGGGTTATTATATTTCCCCCATGATGTATGGACAAAATGCCATTGCGATCAATGAGTTTTTAGATGATAGATGGAGCACCGTAAGCTTTGTTACTCAAAATTTCTGTATTTTTTGCTTGTCTATGAACTAAATAGCTTTCCGTCGCCTTACAGCCAAATCCTGATACTCGAATCAATGAAACGACTGTAGGGAAGGTTCTTCTGAAGTCGAAGGGGATGTTCACAACCGAGTATATGTATTGGGTTTGTGTCATTGCACTCTTTGGTTTTTCTCTTCTCTTCAACTTCCTCTTTGTGTTAGCTCTCACATACTTGAATCGTAAGATTTTTCTTTCTGTTATTTTTGTAATTCATTATCTGCACATGTTCTTGTTTCTTATATACCATTTTCATCCAAAATTCAGCTCTCAGAGATTCAAAAACTGTTGTTCCGACAGAAGATGAGCAAAATAAAAAGCACCAAAAAACAGACACAGAAATGGCAGCAAGAATGAAAGGAATGGTGCTCCCGTTTCAGCCATTGTCACTTGCATTTGATCATGTCAACTACTATGTAGACATGCCTGCTGTAAGTCCGAGTTATAATAAGATTCAATAACTTGGATTTTTCAGTGAAAGGATGACATAGAAATTTGAGAATTTTATCAGGAAATGAAAAAAACACAAGGAATAGAAGAGAATCGCCTACAACTACTAAAAGATGTCAGTGGGACATTCCGGCCAGGCATCCTGACAGCATTAGTTGGCATAAGTGGGGCCGGAAAAACAACCCTGATGGATGTGTTAGCTGGACGAAAGACCAGTGGGTATGTTGGAGGAAGTATCAGCATCTCTGGTTACCCTAAAAACCAAGAAACATTTACTCGTGTTAGTGGATACTGTGAACAAAACGACATCCATTCTCCCCATGTCACTGTTTATGAGTCTCTCGTCTACTCTGCTTGGTTACGTCTTTCTCCAGACATAACCACAGAAACACGTCAGGTAATTTTTTTCTAGTTTTCACTACTTTGACAATTTTGCCCCCGGTAAAGGGTTTATCTTTGCAAATCCACACGAAAGTTCAAGTCTCATCAGCAGCAGTGTGGGAGTTTCAATTCCAATGTGGAATGGTCAGTGTGGGCCAACTCAGGGGTTGTTGGAACTGAAAGCATATATAACCATTTTGAAGAAACTTTGATTACTGCTCCAGATACCAACAACTACATTTATTTCATATGGTTTAGATGTTTGTGGAAGAAGTCATGGATTTGGTGGAACTGAACCCGTTAAGGAATGCAATAGTTGGGCTTCCAGGAGTAGATGGTCTTTCAACTGAACAAAGAAAGAGGCTGACAATAGCAGTAGAATTGGTTGCAAATCCATCAATCATCTTCATGGATGAGCCCACATCAGGCCTTGATGCACGAGCTGCTGCCATTGTCATGCGTACTGTTAGAAACACGGTCGACACCGGTCGAACAGTCGTATGCACAATCCACCAACCGAGTATCGATATTTTCGAGGCTTTTGACGAGGTAAGTCATCTAAAATTGAAGTACTCGGTTTCCATTTCTTGGATTCAATGTTCTTTAAATCTTACTTCACATGTTATTACAGCTATTGTTGATGAAAAGAGGTGGGCAGGTCACTTACACTGGACCTCTCGGGCACCAATCTAACCGCCTAATAGAATATTTTGAAGTGAGTACATCCTTAATTTTCATGCTCCCATTCACACAACGCAAAGAATCTAATAACTCGATCAAACTTTTCAGTCTATTCCAGGAGTTAACAAAATCAAACAAGGTCAAAATCCGGCCACATGGATGCTTGAAGTTACTTCTTCAGCAGTCGAAACTCAGCTTGGTGTTGATTTTGCAGAGATTTATGCCAATTCTGATCTTTACAAGTATGAATCTTCAAACCTATCTTTTAGATTCTACTAAGCTTCTTGCTAATGGGTTCTTTCTAACAGGCGGAGCCAGGAGCTCATTGAGGTAGTAAGTACACCAGTACCAGGGTCCAAGGACATTTACTTCCCTACAAAGTACTCTCAATCCTTTTGGACACAATGCATGGCTTGTTTTTGGAAACAACACTGGTCATACTGGAGGCATCCACAGTATAATGTTGTTCGGTTCTTCATGACAACAATAATTGGCATTCTATTTGGAGTGATTTTCTGGGACAAAGGCCAAAAGACGTAAGAAATCAAACACATCATATCGTTTTCACATTTAGAATGTAATTCTAAATGAATTTGTGTCGCTTTGACAGTGAAAAACAACAAGATGTAATGAATCTGATGGGAGCTATGTATGCCGCTGTATTGTTTCTTGGTGGAACCAACACTTCAACTGTGCAGTCTGTGGTGTCTATAGAGCGGACAGTTTTCTATCGTGAGAAGGCAGCAGGGATGTATTCACCAATCCCTTATGCATTTGCTCAGGTATGAGAAAGCTGTTAGCTTTTCTGTTTCTAATGGCATTTCTAGAAAACTCAAAGGAGATGATTATTTTATCTGCAGGTGGCCATTGAGGTGGTTTATGTAGGCATCCAAACGATCATATACAGTCTTCTGATTTACTCCATGATTGGATTCCAGTGGTCCACAGACAAGTTCTTATGGTTCTACTTCTACATGTTCATGTCCTTTGTCTATTTCACATTATACGGAATGATGCTTGTGGCCCTCACACCCAATTATCAGATTGCAGCCATTTCTATGTCCTTCTTCCTCAATTTCTGGAACTTGTTCTCTGGTTTCCTGATCCCTAGAACGGTATGACAACCTAAATCACTAATCTAAAAGTCACTGATTAGAATGAATTACAATAACAAAATCTAACACATTAAAACTAACCTGAACATTGCAGCAAATACCGATCTGGTGGAGGTGGTATTACTGGGGTTCACCGGTAGCGTGGACTTTATACGGCCTGATCACATCTCAGCTTGGTCAAAACGAAAGCCTTGTAGAGGTTCTAGACCAGAAATCCGTCACAGTGAAGGAATTCATTAAAGAATTTCTAGGGTTTGAGTACGATTTTCTCGGATACGTTGCTTTGGTTCATGTTTGTTGGGCCGTCCTCTTTTGCGTCGTCTTTGCCTACGGCATCAAGTTTCTGAATTTCCAACGAAGATAGCGAAATCATCGAATACTCAGTCTAAATGCGTTTAGATGATTATAGAAAATATACGGTTACCTTTTCTTTTCGGGAAACCATTGATTGATTTACGAACAGTCCAACATAAACAAACAAACGAGAACCTAATATTCTAAAACACCGAGTTGAAGTATATGTACGATCATCAATTTCCCTGCTATCACTATCACGAATTCAGGCATGTTTGGCATATTTTTTTTTTTCTTTTTTTGGAAAAGGTAAAAGGTAAAGGATGTTTGATATATTTTAAAATCTAGGAAATCCTTAACTTTTTCAAAAAAGACTTTTGCCTTATTAAAATGGGCTTCTTGACTTATCATTTGTGTTTTATTTTTATTTAATAAAATATTATATTTCTATTATTCTGTTTTAATGTAATTTATGTAATTTATATTTATATTTTTTTTGTAATGAAATATTATCGTTGTATTGTTTTGTTTTTATGTAAGGGTTTCCACAAAAAAAACTATATATATAGTTTTTACTTTTTAGACTTAAAATTTTTTTTTTTCCGAAAAAGACCTAACTTTTATCCATAATTTATTATTTCAAACATCAACGGATCACAGGTAAAACGTAGGTAAAACTGAGTTTTTTTCTTTCACAAAAGATCCTTCATTTTGTATTTTTTTCGATTTAAACCTAAAACTTTTTTTTGTTCAAAATAAACTCAATTTTAACATATTCTTTGTTATTTCATTAAATGTATATTTTTTATTTTATAAATATAATATGTGCTTAAAAATAAAAATTAGATGAGTGGCTTTCTAAAATATTTCTTAAAGATTAAAATAAATTAGGTAGTTGTAAAATAGTCATTCGTCTAATTGTTTAATATTTTTTAATCACATGAGAGAACTATCAAACCAATTCGACACTAACATCCCTAAAATGGACATGATCTGATAATCATCCATGAGGATGAGGGGTTTACTTTAGCCCCCCCCCCCCCCCCCCCCCAATCCTCATGAATGATTATCAGATCATGAACAAGGTGTGTAGACCGATGCTGGATCGGTCGGTGATTGTTTTTATTGATGATATCTTGGTCTATTCTAAGACCAATGAGCAGCACGAGCAACATCTGAGGGAGGTATTGGAGACCCTGGGGGCGGAGAGGTTGTATGTCAAGTTCTCCAAGTGTGATTTTTGACTGCGGGAGGTACAGTTTTTGGGGCACATCATCAACCAGGAGGGTATTTCGGTTGATCCAGCTAAGGTTGAGGCAGCAATGCAGTGGGAAGTACCAAAGAATGCTTCCGAGATCCGTATCTTCTTGGTTCTAGCGGGCTATTATCAGAGATTCATCCAGGATTTCTCCAAGATTGATGTGCCCTTGACCCGCTTGACCAAGAAGAATGTGACATTTCGATGGGGTACGGATCAGCAGTTGGCTTTTGAGACACTAAGACAGAGGTTATGCGAGACTCCGATTCTAGTACTACCCGAGGGGTTAGATGATTTGGTGGTGTACTGTGACGCATCGATTTCAGGGTTAGGTGCGGTACTGATGCAGATGGGGCATGTGATAGCTTACGCCTCGAGGAAGTTGAAGCCTCATGATGCGAATTACCCCACTCACGACCTGGAATTGGGGGCGGTGGTGTTTGCCCTCAAGATTTGGAGGCACTACTTGTATGGAGTGAAGTGCACCATCTACACTGATCACAAGAGTTTGAAGTATTTGATGGATCAGCAGAACCTCAACATGCGACAGAGGAGGTGGTTGGATGTGCTGAAGGACTATGATTGTGAGATCTTATACCATCCCGGGAAGGCCAACGTGGTGGCCGATGCTTTGAGCCGCAAGGCGGCAGGTTCCCCGATTAGGAACGTTTGTTTGAGGATGACCGTGATCTCTCCATTGTTGGATATGATCAAGGAGGCTCAGGTCGAGGGGGTGAAGAAGGAGAACTGGAAGATAGAGCGGATTCGGGGGCAGTATCCTTTGTTTGTTAAGGATAGTCGTGGCCTGTTGACACAGTGTGGCCGAGTATGGGTACCGGTGACTGGAGGAGTGAGGCAGAAGATATTGGAGGAGGCGCACAAGTCCAAGTTCTCTATACATCCAGGGGCTACAAAAATGTATAGAGATTTGAGACTGAGTTACTGGTGGCCCTGCATGAAGTGGGAGATCGCCTGGTTTTTGGAGCGGTGCTTGACCTGCAGGAAGGTCAAGGCTGAGCATCAGCGACCTCATAGCAAGGTTCAGCCGCTACCCATTCCCATGTGGAAGTGGGAAGAGATCACTATGGACTTCATTACGAAGTTACCGAGGACGGCAATGGGTGTGGACGCCATATGGGTGATCGTAGACAGACTGACGAAGAGTGCCCATTTTATTCCGATCTCTGAGAGTATATCCGCCGAGAAGTTGGCGGATATTTATGATGGGTTTTATACAAAAGAACATCCTATGTGCTCATGCAAACCCTAAATCTTGGATCTAGGTTTCTCTATTGTACATGCAATTCATCCAAGACTTATAAACCCTAGATCTAGCATACTAATTTCGAAATTGACATGTAAGAACAGATCTAGATGATTACCTCTTGTAGAATGGCTTGAATCTCTTCAATCTTCTTTCCTTGGAGCTTAGAGTCACAAATGTCACTCCTCTAATGGTTTACAAACACCAAGAGCAAGAGAATGACTTATGAGAAAGAGGAGGAGCACCAAAAACGTCCTAGGGTTCTTCCAAGAGAGTTCACCACGTTTTTGGGGCCATAGGGGTCTTTATATAGTGAGGCTATTAGGGTTTTCAACTAGGAAACCCTAATTTGACTGCTTAGGCCCTAAGCAGCCCATGGACTCCCTTTAGAACACCCTTTGGACGAATTCCTTATGGGCTTCCCATAGAATTCGTCCAATCTATGTTCCAAGGTGATCCATAGCCCAATTGTAATTATCTTATAATTATAATTCTATTCCCCTAAGTTTAATTAATGTCTTTTAGTCACAAAACTAACTGTCAATTAATTCTTGACTAATATTAATTAAACAATATAATTTCTCCTTTAATATATTATTCATATAGTATATTAATAAATCATAATTAATCCTCTTTCTCCATAAATCATCCTATCAAGTTGCTTTGGTGAAGGCAACCCAAAAGGATCATGCACAACCGGGTCAAGTACATACCAAATATAGTTACGGGCTTAGACACTAATCCAACAGTCTCCCACTTGGATAAGTCTAGTAACTATAAATGCAAGTACAATCCGATTAGCAATCATAGCTCTCAAAGACGTTGTCGAACTCTGATCTTATCAGCAACCTGTCCTTTAGATAAGGGATCATATATTCCTCCATTCTAGATATCGTATGAACTGAGACATGGATTTCAATCATACTCTCTGTTCATATGTTGTTTCCTGATTTCCGATTTATGACGACTGACGACTGACTACAATTGAACACATCAACTTAGTCCCGGCTTGGCCAAGCACGTAGGGTGTCATCACTAAATCATCGAGGGGCCCACAGATATCGCTTTTATCCCACTTTGGGTAAAAGGAATGGATAAACTTCGACTCGAATGCTCGCTTGTACCTACTCATCAAATCACACACAACAATATGTTTTATAACACCAAGATACTGGTGCGTTTATATATTATCAATGTGCAACCGACTTGCAGAATACAACTCACACATCTCGGTTTCAAGAATACAAGATATTATCGTCTCACCAATCACTCGTGATAAAATCCATGAAGCGATCCAAGTGAGCGTGGGTTTAATCCAATACTCTAATCTTATAGCAGCACTCATGAACTCTGCAGCAAACTTGTGCTATGTCTAAACACTTTAGACAATCTACAAACGGATTCATGACAGTCTTCTTTCATACCTACTTCCAAAGTATGAGCGATTGTGGAGGGTTTGAATAATCTTATTATTCGGGAAGTCAAAACATGCAAAGTGAAACACAAGAATAATACTAATACTATATGGCCTCAAACCTTTGAGTATAAATAAATTTTTTTATTTAATCACCATATTGATTACTCATTATTTGTTGTTTCGGGTAATCAACTTCTTACTTGAATTATAACAATAGTTGTCCCATGCACCAAGCATGCACACTATGTTTACCTATGGTCCTTACTTTGTGAAATAGATCAATTTTAACACATTTCCAATGATACTCATTTCACAACTACCAATCCTTATCATTAGTGTAAGAATACCAAATCTTGTCACTACTAGAATATGTTAGATTCTAACATTTATGCAACGGTCATTTCGTAATATCACAGCGCCAAAGTCACCAAGACTTTGCCAATGAAATTACAAAGTGTTCTATTGGAGATTGTTACAAGACAATTCCATAGACGTGAAGTCTCACATTCAAAGTACATTCCTTTGAACATTCTTCTTGCATAAAAGTTTCTAATCTAGACATAGATTCTCGATATCCAACTCCCAATATGGAAACATTTCCATATTTGCCATACGACAACTCATTATTAATAGAATCATATCTAATCATAATAATGCCATTATGGTCCATTCGTTACTATACTTCCAACTGCCCACAAGCGACCAATCCTTAGCGAACCTTAGATTGTCCTTGACAGTTGTTTAATTATTTTAGTCAAATCCGGTTCTATTCCCTTTTTCCCTCTAAATGCCCTAGGCATTTGGAAAATTTTAGAATGGTCAAGTATTACAGCCTATGCAATCGATCCTATACCAGAAGCATATGGGACACGATTCATAATGTCTTACATAAAAGCATGATACTTTATCAGCCATTTGCCATAATATTTCTATTTGCCACATTCTCAAAATTCGAACTATGAAGAGGGATGCGGTAATCATAATCGAACTTTGATAATAAATACATCCTTGACTAAATTCAATTAAAATTTCTCGATCTAAGCTTTTAGATTGGAAACGAAGTATAACATTCTCTCCCTTAATTATAGCAAAAAAAAATTCAGCCCCTGCAACTTTGCAAAGTGAAACTTTTGTTTTTCTATAATTAATATTGCCAACTTGCAACACTTAAAATAATAATCATGCTCCCACTAACATGATAATTATATCCATTCCAGCATAAAATTTATGCTCCC